TTACATTCTGACATGTAGGAGCAAGAGGTGTTAAGACTTAAAAAATGAATTGAGAGGCAGGACGGAGAATGCAGTTTAACCTGTAAAAAGGTCAACTGAATATTTGACAATCCAGTTTTTCTGCCAAGTATCCATTCTTACTAAGGATAGCATTATATATGTAAGGTTCCTTTAGAAAAATAAAACATTAGGCTCAGTGCCTGTAGCTCAGCAGCTAGGGCACCAGCCACATACACTGGAGCTGGTGGGTTTGAACCCAGCCTGGGTCTACCAAACAACAATGACAACTACAACCAAAAAATAGCCAGGCATTGTGGCAGGTGCCCTAATATAAAATGGCATAGTATCTGCATATAACCTATGTATAGCTACTTGGGAGGCTAAGGCAAGAGAATCGCATAAGCCCAAGAATTTGAGGTTGCTGTGAGCTGTGACCCTGTGGCACTCTACCAAGGGCAACATAGTGAGACTCTGTCTTAAAAGAAAAAAAAGAAAAAACATTAGTAGATTTCTATAGCTATTAATGACTGGATAGCTTAGCAGTTTTGTCATAGGAAAAATTCAAAACTTTTTAGAATTACTTACAAATTACTAAGATAATTATGATTTATAAAGGTTCCAGAAAAGTAATGACTGTTTTGTTTTCAGACTCAAATTGAATTTAGTTGTCTTGATTTTATGGTAGTAATATTGTACAGTACTTAAAAGTTACTGCCTTTGAATCAAATTATCCTTGGTTAAAATCTCAAATCTCCTTTTACTAGCATTAATGGTTAGGGCAGCTTACTTCCCCTTTCTGAGTTTTAATACCAGATTTGTTGTGGTATAAAAAAGATAATATGGGGAAAGTGCCTGCCCCATAGAAATTCATCAGGTTGTGATCATAATTTGATTACTATTTGCTAGACTCATAAAGGTGATAGTCAAATTATTGAATAAGTGAACTTAGTTATTCTGAGGCTCATGTACTCATCAAAGCTTTTTTCCTTAAGGGAGCTTCACTATTCAGAATGTTTTTCCACAGTCGGATGGTGATAGTTCCAAAGTGAAGGTTAAAGTTCGTGTTAACATCCATGGAATCTTCAGTGTGGCTAGTGCTTCAGTAATTGAGAAGCAAAATTTAGAAGGGGATCACAGTGATATTCCTATGGAGACAGAAACTTCAATTAAGAGTGAAAACAAAGATGATGTGGTATGTAGAAATCCTATCTCAGTTTTCCTCTATTAGATAATAATATATAATACCTTAATCATGATTACTTTAATCATTAATCTCCGAAGTTTTGCTTTGAATTTCTACTGTAGGAATCAGTGTAAGCTTTTCAAAATAAAAGCATTATAGAATAAATCTATTTTAAACACTCTACCTCTTTCATATTGTAATACACTTTTTTGGGACTTGTGCATCTTTCATAGCATTATATGGAACCATGAGAGTTTGGAGTCTTCTTCCAAAGTTCTAATTTCCATTAAAAACATATCTTTTCTTATGGATAGATTTTTAGTTTACAGATGAAACTAATTCAGAATGATAAATTTTGAACTACATGCATACATATTATTAGATTAAAAATACTTGAGAAGAAATTTTTCAGGATTTAGCAGAGGGGCAGATATCAGTGATAGTTTATAGGAATATGCTGTAACAATAAAGTACAGTTTTTTGTTAGTTGTTCCTTATGAAAGTTAGGTGATGCTAAATTTACTCTTGGTGTACTATAAATCAAGGAACCTTAGGAGAACTTGATTTTATTCCACTACACCAAGTTCTCATCTTTTTATGTATATTCTTTGTAAATTTTTTTTGTACATTATTTTTAATGGCATTTATTAGATGTTAGATGTTTTTCTTCATAATTGGAGATCCGCCCTAGAATTTTCATCTATTTATACATAGAATGAGTTTTGTTTTAAGACAATTTTTCCCTTTCTTAATGGTTTTTTTAAAATTTTTATTAATTATTATTATATGATCTCTTAGATTAAAAAGCTTCATTTAAGGATGGTAGAATTTTTTTTCTATTTTTCTCATATTATTTCACTATCACATCCTTCCTTATTTGTTTATTTGTTGTTTAAGACAGAATCTTACTCTGTTGCCAAGGCTAAAGTGCCGTGGCATCAGCCTCTCACAGCAACCTCAATCTCCTGGACTGACACTACAGGTGCCTGACTAATTTTTCTATATTTTTTATTTTTAGTAGAGACAGAGTCTGACTCTTGGCTCATACTTAGGACTCCAACATGATACCCTATCACTTTTTTTTACCTTTTATCAGTGAACGGGTTTAGGAGGGTTGTGAAGTTTAGTGGGGAACTAGAATATCAGAAATACAGCCTACAAAGAATTTCCTTCTGACTTTTTATCTTTGGCGCAAATAAGCTTTTATTCAAGATAGGTTTCTAGGCTAGGCGCCTGTGGCTTAAGTAGCTAAGGTGCCAGCCACATACACCTAAGGTGGCAAGTTCGAATCCAGCCCAGGCCTGCCAAACAACAATGATGGCTACAACC